TTAAACGGCTTCTTAAAGTCTCTGAATTTCGTCATAAGAAAGTTAGCTCTTTATCCCTCAATATCTAAATCGACTTACAATGACCAAAGTTTATATTAAAGATATATTGATATTTTTGAAGCGCGTGTTTACGTATGCAATAAGGTTACCAATTTTAATGGCAACTATCAGTTTGCATTATCAACAATTATCTCAATATAGACGTAATTTAGTGAGTAGAAGTGTTTTGACCTCGTTTCTACAACTTAGTCATATTGTCGAAAAGATCTGGATAAACACACCTTGTCCGGAGCCCTCTGCAATATTATCCATGATATTTTTCTGCGTCTGACCATGTAATTGGTGCATTCCAAGACGTTTCGACGGCTTTTTAGTCAGTATCGTCAGTGAGCCTTGCCATTCTTAACAACGCACTACTATTCTTTAAAGAGACAAGTGAAGTAGACCCTTTGACCAGCTGTCTGCTGGATAGTCTTGGCATTTTATTCTGTCCTGGTATATTCCCCTATCCTGTATTATTTTATCATACCCTTCTCTATCATAATTTTTAACTTGCTTATTTTAACCTAGTCCAAGTGGGCTCCTAGTAAGCTTTATTCAAGCTCTCCTCTAGTTTCTTCATGCTCTTCCCCACTGTGTTGGGAATATTGATCCGAGTTTGCCCTTTTGCTCTGGAGTCATCTTCATCCTGGTCCTATCGGAGTATCACTCGGGCACTGCAAGAGCTGTCTTTTATTCCCCTAGTTCAGTGACTTCACTTGATCACGGCCAACATATCTATACCATTAGAGGCGTTATAACTTATACTCTTCTTCAAGCTTTTAATTAGATATTTACTCCAGCCTCACTGAGTAGGCTTCCAAAGTCTGGATTCTTAAACTGGATGAAAAACTAACTTAACACTGCTGATATTCCTACCGCTGTTTGACATTTACATGGAATAAATCTCGTGGTCAAGTCTTTACTTAACGGACCACGTCTTTGATCAAACCCGTAGGCTCCAAGCCAACAATTTCTGGACTTCATCGCATCTCTCGTGTTTCTATCTATAATTCTAAGTGTTTTAATTGTTTACTTGCTTTTGATTAAGCTTACTGTACACTCCTCGTTTTTATTTCCGATTGTGCAGCGCCGGCCTCTTTGCGATTATTTGTCCTCATTCACAAAATATTTCCTTGATATAGTCGCCTTTTGTGTGCTGATCCTACTGTTTCCTAATTTCTTCCAGACTTGTTTAAGCAATAACCAACGTTTTCGCTAATTATGCCTTATTTTAGCTTTATGCTCATTACATTTCTTTTAATCAGGATATCGAAGGCCTCCCAAGTCTTTTGTTTTTTTGTATTTTCACCCTATTCGACCAACCCCTCAATCGATTTCCAGTTGATTTAGTGTCCCGTCCGTTAAATGTGTGATACGGAGATATAGGATAAGTTAACGTATCAGAAAAAGAGAGATACTACAACTGTTTAGCAGACCGTTGGGTAAAGGACCGAATGTACTAAAAATGACAAGGTTGATCACGATGCCCGTAAAACTTTCATAGCAAGTTCACTATTCGAACCTGGAAATTATTATGGACTATATGGCAGATGACTCTGTGCGAGTTGCTTCTATCCAGGTCTCTATGAAAATATAACGAAGTTATGAGAACGATATCAAGCCATTTATATACAATGAAAAGGGACCACGACCTCACTAAAGGCCACACCATCTTGCTATTCACGCCTTCGAATAAGTAAATGAAGTCTGGCTTACCTTGAAATTATGATCTTCCCTTCGATTCACTAGCATCTGAGGCAATGCAAGAAAGAGGCAACACTTTGATACTTTATGTCAACTATCTAGTTTCGGATTCCGTTGGAGGTTCTGAGGAGACCTAAGCTAGTTCGGAGACTCAGTCTATTCTGGACGAGAACTATGCAAACTTTGATCGCTTTAAGGATGCTACTCATTACACTATCAGATATTTAACTCTGTGTCCTACCTCATCTTAAGAGACTTAACGTAATTAAAGTTCTTATTCTAAATCTATTGATAATTTCTGAACTTGCTCACATGCATGACTTCGGTGAACATATATGACCTGTGAAAATGGTGAGTTTTTTTAACCATTTATTGAATATCAATAACTGCAATACAGAATCACAATGTACTTACATTACCTTCACGATATCGAGACACTTTAGGGGTTGTACCAAACCAAAAATTACAAAGAAAGTATTCCATGCTACTATGCCTGGTAGGCTCAGAAAGCTGCTAAATTTTACTGGCCTACATTGAGATTTCCATTATGTGCAGGCCAACTGCTCATATCTGAATGCTCTATAGTAGTCTACGTTCAGATTCTGACAGATATTTTTATCTTTGTTACAGTGTATTACCAAGTTTTATCATTTGAGTTTAGATGGCTTTCGGATTTTTTCTATGTAATTCGTGGAAGTAACTGTATTTATAATGATTCCAGTACTACTTCTGCAGCTTCCCCACGCTCAGTTGACTCGTTTTGAATATCTTGCAAGATTTATTTATTTGATACTTTAAGGTAAAAATGTACGACCTCTAGTTTATGTTTTTTTCATCCTTTATTTTGTTTGAAAAAGCGACTGGAAGAGATTTGTGTGTAG